GACTTGCTCCAATTAACAGTGTAAAATGATGGATATGAACACACCACAGATATCTGGGTGCTGCGCTGTCCTAATACAGATCCCATCAGCCTCATCTGTAATCCCTCCTCATTATGCCATTCACTTCTCCTTCTTCACCGCTTTCTTCCCCATGTATCACTTCTTCTTTCCTAGGGGCACATTTTGGAGGCCACATTTGAAGGAATATTCTGTCATTTTGGGATATATGCTTAGCTGCTTTCTTGCTGAAAGTTATGTGAGAAGATTGATAAGTAAAATATAAGGCTACAGACAGCGGCTTATTAGCTTAGATTAGCATAAAGACTGGAAACCGGGGGAGACATACCTAGGAAGTCATTGCTCCCAGCCAAGAAATATAGACCCTTGTAAAACTACAAATGTCAATTTTACATGCTCTAGAGGTGCTAGTAGAAGGATTTTGTTACTTTTGACAGAGCCAGGCTAACTGTTTCCGTGCCCAGTCTTTATGCTAGGCTAAGCTAACCAGCTGCTGGCTGTAGCCTACTATTTTCCATATGTGAGAGGTATTGCAACACTCTGATAGAAGGTGAACAAGTGTATTACCCAAAATTAGTTCCCAAAATGTCAAACTACTATATTTGAAGGTGCAGTGTTAGGAACGTGGTTCATTCATTCAACGTGGTCTGATGTCTGATGAAACAACAGATATATTAATCTACTTAAACACAACACTGTAAAAAGAGCAACAGGTTTACCACAGTGTTACAGTGAGAGGCACCGCCAACACTGCACTAAAGTACTATCAACAGTTCCACTTATGGACGCAATTTACTTTGCATCACAAAGCCATCATGTGTAGAGGGCAAACCCACTAATAAGACAGAAACACGGCAAAGGCCCAAAAATAGAAACAACAGAGCAAATTCAGTGGAGCTACAGCCACTCAAATGGAGTTGTTGTGAGTCATAAGTGTTAGTTTTGTGTCTTGATGACGCGGGCGGATGCGTGGGTGACACTGGGGGAGGGTGGGTGGTTGGGAGCAGCAGATGCATCGCTTGTGTTCCCCCAGACCCTTGTCATCCACTCAGTCTCGGCTTCATTCAGCTGGTTGTTGCTACGATACAACATGGGAGATGACACTCGAACTGAACACGCAGACCAACACACAAAAGCTGTTACGTTCTTACACATGCTGGGAAATCTTGTCTGTTTCTGCGACAATTGAAGCGTCTTACCCATGTGAAGTTGGTGTGGAGTGAAACCAGGATAATTTAGCGTTTAACACTTAAGATATCACACATTAACTAAGTTTGACATGTTTATTACAGCAGCTTTTCTGTCAAATGAAAAGGATGATGACATTTTCCTAGTATTTGGATTATATGGGGAGCTCTTGGCTCTCAGGTTTACTTCCTCTTATGTAGATAATGAGGAGGACAGAGTTTGGGAGCTGTTTTGATCATCAAGCTTAGTGCACTGTGGTATTTCCTCTGGTATTTCCAAAGTTGAGGGCCATTCAGTTTAGAAAACTATGCAAAAAAGGGCACAACTTCACAACCACACTGAGAAAAGTATTTTCTAAACTCACTTGTGTTAAATGTAGTTGTACCCAGATAACAAAATTTGTAAATTCAATGTGAAGTTATGGTCACTCTATATGGTCTACTTCGAATCAACAGTACACAAACAACAGTTTAAATGCTGACATAAAAACGTATTGGATAAGGGCAAACACGTTTTCAACAGTGAAGTACTAACATTTATTCAATATTGTCTCAATACTGCAGCTTTCCCACCAAAATACAACCAGTTTTTATTCACTGTCAGTATGAATATATCCCTGCTGCTTATTCAACATTTTCAATGTGAGGCATCAGTGTAGATTCAAAGCTCCTGTCTTATGATATTTCACTATTGTTTCAAACATATTTTGCTGTCTGGGTAGCTACACGTGTCATCTTGGGAAAACACCTTTGTAATTCCAAAATAACACTTTGTACAGTTGCTTCACTTTGATGACATAACTTTTCCCCTGCCGTTTCAACTATTATTTTGAACAGGCAATGGTAATACAGAATTTTTAGACGATGAATGAAGGCACTTCCTGTCACTCCCAGAAGGGTACAGATATGCCAATAAATAATACCTCCTGTGACATGTTTTCTGTGACAAACTGCTCTATGAGAGTGATAGCTGCTGGAGTGATCAGTGCTCCCCTGGTTTCGCACCAGCTCAGCTGTAGCTTGGCATTACCCTCACACATTAATCTGTCTGACAAATGTGTCAGACAGATTAATCAAAACCAAAAACCCTAACAATGTATCTGTCCAAAGTAAAATTTCTATCTATTTCAACGGCACAAGACAGTTCTCCCTCCATGAAGAGAAACCAAAAAGCAATAGCTTTTATAATATTGCTCATGAAAGTAACAAATGGGCTCGAAACCTGACAGCTTCTGGGCAGCATTAGAAAACATCTAGGACATTGGAGAGACGTTTCTGTTTCCAATGACAGGTCTCCTTAAGAAGAGCTTCCAGAAACATAATGAGACACTGATGAAACGCTCTGGGGCTCAGGGAGATGGAGGAGGTACGTTGACCAGTCAATATGACAGATACTCTACCTGTTGGCGTGTTTGCTGCTTCACCGTCACTTATCATGGAGTGGGAACTTGGCTGGAGAGCTGCCCAATGTAATGAGATTGGAGTTGGCCAAATGACAGAGGCACTGTTGATGAGACACAACACTGGTGGGACAAAGTCATTGTCTTGCAAGTCACAAAGTAAGTCTCAAATATTGGTGAGTCAAGAAAAGTTTGTGTTTTGAAACCTAAACTAAATCCTATGTCACTAAGCACCCTTCACCAAATTTAGGCTAATGCCAATTTCAAAGTAAGTGATGCAATAAATGTCTTTCTGTGACTCAGTCCACCACTTTGGTTCAGACTGAAATATCTCAACAACTGTTGGATGAATTGCCATGACATTTGGTACATACATACATAAATGTCTCCCTTAGGATGCACTGTAATACCTTGGTGATTAATTTCATCTAGCACCATCATCAGACCAAAGTTGAACTTTTATCCAATGTATACCAAATTCCATGAAAATAAATGATGTTCCTATTTCCCTCAGCTGTAAGTATGCAAATGTTAGCTTGATAACATGCAAAACTAAGATGGTAAACAAGGTAAATAGTATACCAGCTCACAGCTTTTTAGTATTGTCATAGTGAGCATTTTAGTAGGCCTAATACATTTCTTACTTACAAAGATGATAACACAAGTTATGATCTAGTTGTTTGATTGGCTCAAAGTATATTTGATGTCAGAAAAATAAATAGTTTATTCGCTGCACACTTTTTAAATAAGATGATTTTTAATCTATAGGCTTGGTCTTGGTCTCAGTCATTCCAAGTTTAAAGGCTAAAGTCTAAGTTAAGTCACAAGTCGTTGGTATTAAAGTCGAGGTGCAAGTCTGTTTTAGTCAACTCATCATATTAATGACTCTGAAGTCTGACTCAAATTCACACCTATGGGCATCACAATGCTTCATCACTATAAAGACTTTTCATCTCAGTTTTACAATGTAGTCACCGTGTTGTGAGAGGCCAACTGCCCATTCAAGTTTGTATTAGCCTGCTTTGAAATTCTTCTCACACATCTCATAATGATTAAATTGTGTCAATGTCACTTTGAACTGAAGGCCTGTATTTTATAACAGAGCCTAATTTTGACACTGAGCCCTATTAATTGAGCTCTCCACAGACATCTCCCTGTATCTAAAATAGGTAGGAAGTCCATTGTGGAGGTGAAGAGGGACAAAGTAGGCCAAGGACTCTCACAGAAAATAGACTGTGACTCACTGAGAGGCCGTATCATCTTGGGAAAGAACAGGAAATGGGAAAGAATGTGGGTTAAGAATAATCCTCGAAATTACAGGCCCCATGGTGTGATGAAGTGAAGAGGTAATATGTGTTACAACTGTCTGTCAGGCTTCATTCAGCTAAAATAGTGTTAAGGTGATTTGATATTCCAAGCACGTATACTTCGTCAATAAATAGTAGATACTCATTTTATGCTACTTCCTCTACCTGAATATTTTCAGAGTATAATATTGTATTTTCCTTTTACTCCTTTACTGTTACTAGTTACTTTGTAGGTAAGGATTTCACACATGAAACTCACTTTATAAAGAAATCCACATTGTTATAGATTAAACGATCCACAAGTATATAAATTAAGTAAGATTAGCTCCATCTTGACAGCAGTGAAAAGCTTACACATTAATGCATCGTTGATATAAGTCTGAATAGTGTCATACTGCAATTGCATTTTAAGTCAGTTTTGTTGATAATACTTTTTGAATAACATTTTGAATGCAAGACTTGGAGTACTTTCAGACTTTGGTATTGCAACTTCTACTTAAGTAAAAGACCTCAAACCACTGATCATCTGATCACATGACGGACACTTGATAGGATCTGGTCACTCCCATGTACATAAACCGCATATTTGCACATTTTAAATGTATAGGCACTATCACACTTATATTTAATTTTTCTGTTCGTACGGACCATACTCCCATCCATACATTCTGTAGGATTGCTGCTCTCTTCATTGTTTGCTTGTATATATTTTTCCTCTCTTTGCTTTTTTAATGCCTACTGCATAGCTATAACAAGCCATGTCACAAGATTTTCTCTGTTCTGGGTAATGCAATGTTATTCAGTACATTATATGACAAATAAAATGACTTTCACCTCTTCCACCACTGCTTGATATTAAAGTGAATGTAAAAGCCTGTTTCTCCATCTATTTTGTCCGACTCCTAATAATCTCAGCCACTGACAGTATCCTCCTCTTTTGCTTAATTGGTGATCAGTCCTCTGTATTTGTAGTAAATATGTAAATGAAGTTGCCTAGTATTCCATGTGGCAAAAAATGAGAATTTTGTTCACCTGCACTGCCCCCATGTGGCAGTACCAAAATAAATGAACTGTTCCCACAGACAAAACCGTTTCAAAACATCAGCCAATCTTTATTTACACGTACTAACTTCACAAAAAAAACAAAACAATCAAACATACAGATAGTGATGGGCTCAACCCTATACAGAGGTAAAATGGTGAGAAACTCTTAAACTACAAACAAAGCCTGTGAAAAAAAAATGATCCTCTCAACTTATTATCAGGAGTAGTGATGCAGTTGGTAGAGTATGATGTGAAGGTTCAACATCTCAAGTACAGACATACAATTAATATATTTAAACTTGCATATAGTAGATTTCTCAGCTAGTTAGTTTGTACTTAACTTTGACCAATAAGGAAATTACCTATAGAGAAGATTACCAAAGACAAGTTGAGGGCCAATTCTATTAAGACAAAACATATTTTAACTCCACCGCATTCACCGATACACACGGGCACATTCATGTTCAATCCAAACAGACAGACTTGGTGCTACCTTTTCACACTGCAAAACTACACCAAAGGATTCACAGCAATGAAGGCATAAACGTGAGAGATGAAAATCCGAGTTGGAGTGACGTGGGTGGAGGTAAAAGTGACATAACAGCAAAATCTTTTCTTGTGTGGGGTTATTTTTAAACCATTCAGCAATACCACTACCACCAAAGGGCAGGCAATGAGGGGTGTGCTGATAAAAACAAACCCATGGCACTTGAACTAATGCAGGAATAAAATCCGGCACTGGAACAGGCAATAGATCTGTGGTAAGGCGTCAACAAGAATATTCATTATCATCAAGACTCACACAAGAATTTCACACATGGTTTTGTCAAAACTCCGCATACAGAATGATGTAAAAGCACTCTTACACGAAGCTCAGTTGTCTCTCTACCCAAACTGAAATCCCCTCTTTGATGTTGCGTCATTAAAGAACATCATAAAAGGTGGTTTCATCTACCAGTTAGCACATTCTGCAAACTGGGAAAGGGGTATCTAAAAGACTTGTGCATGCTTGTATCTGTTGCTTTAACTGGAAATACAAACAGCTGAAAACAAAGATGCAATTTCACTCACATACCTCATTAAGTATTCCTTGGACTTATACACCTCAAACATTAAACTCTATCAACAGCATATTATAGTTTGGGTTTCAAACCTAGTGTCTTGTGGTTCAGTGACTATCAATATGTTCATTACAAACAAGAGGATAGGCATAAGAGGTGCAGTGGAGAGCAAGCAACATGATGCTGTGCACATGTGCAAACTCAGTACTGGGATGCAAATATTAAACAGCAAAGATCCGAAGTTATTTTCCCTCCATACACACTGTATTAAGCTACAGTACATCTCAGCATGTACACAAGATCGGTTTCTTATGTACATAAAAGGTTTTCAAGTATGTTAGAAGACTTCTTTACATAACTGAAAAAACAAACAATAACATGTTTATTTGCATCACTTCTGTGGAAAATAGGGACTAAAGATTTTTTTTTTTTAAAGGGACATTCCTCACTTGTAGTCCCATGAATCTGTTCTAATTGTTTGGATGTCAGCCTCTCCACAATGTGCTATAACACACACACACACACACACACACACACACACACAGACACAGACACAGACACAGACACAGACAGACAGACACACAGACACAAAAATAAAATCAAAAACGCCCAGACACGGCAACTTTCTGGACCGCAGTGGAACCAGTCTGCTGAGTCCTCATTTAAAAATTATTCCAAAAATAAAAAGCCTTTTACAGACAGAAACAGACAGGATGCAACACGCGATGCAGTGCTGAAACTGATTATTGTTATGGAGAGTTGACTGTTCCCCCTCACACCGCACCAGCGCTGTGAAGTTCGCATTTGGTTTTCAATGTCTGGGACAAAGTGTTTTTTTGTTCTAACTCTGGCAGACAGCTATTGCCTTGGGTCTGAGGAGCAAGGTTGTGGATCCAAGGGTACATATTCCACAGGCAAAAGCCTAAAAATAATAAGGGAGAGAAAACAACAACATCTAAGAACCTACAAGTGAGCTAAAACATTCTGCCACTGAATACATTACCAACAATAACCTACCACATGCCTTCAAGGGTTAATTTTACAAAATATATATGTAAAAAAAACAACTACAATCTACTATCTTGTCCCAACTTACATGGAGCAGCGAATCAGGTATTGATAAACATATGGTTCAGGCTACTTCCGTTTCATAGCGGCAGTATCTTCATCCTTCAGGACGAACTTTTTCCTCAGAGCTTCTGAAATCAGACTGGCTGAGTCCTCCTCTCTGAGGGACGTACAGCCTCTGTTGTACCTGCACCAACCAAGATACAAACCATATAATGTAACAATGGTTCAGGGTTATCAAAATACTGTCCTAATCAAATGATGTAATGACAGGGAGAAATGTTAGGAATATTCTTTAAAGCTGGGGTAGGTAGTGCTGAAGAGACTAGCAGCAGGCAGCTAAATTTTGAAAGTATCCAACCAAACAAAATCCCCACCCTCCCTTCAGGCCTCCCTCAAAATACATTTTCATGAGCAACGATTGCATGGGCAGAGTGAGCGCAGGTCGGCAGGCAGAGAGTTAGACAGGTGGGCCAGCCAGTCATTTCATTCGGACCAAATGATTGTCCGTGCTTATTACATTCCTGCGACAGCCAAAGAATTCTTTTCATGTTTTCTGTCAGAGCGTTGGATTTATTGATTACTGTCGGGATGTATGATGTATGAATTCCAACAAATATAACAAAAAATGCTACTGAAACACACTGCCTACCCTAACTTTAAAGGAGTTGTGGAGCATTTGGGAAAATATACTTATTTACTTTCTTCCAGAGAGCTAGATGAGAAGATGGATACCACTCCCATGCCCATGCCCAAACCAGTAGCAATTTTCTGTTTCACAGGACGTTATGTGCTGGACTGTATCTTGTCCAGACACAGACACTTCCTGGAGTCTCTACTCACGATGACGCCAAGATTCCCGGAGAGTTGCCTTTTTTATGATAGGACAGTTGAGAAACAGGAAAGGGGGTGACATGCAGCAAAGTGCTGTGGGTGGGAACATGCGGCGCACGCTCTAGTTGCAAGCTAACCGGCGCCCGACAATGTGTTATTTAGGAGAGATGCTGATAGTTGGAATTTTTTGAACAATTCCATTATCACACGCACATAACAAATAAGCAAACTCAAACTTTGTAGTGTTCAGCCAGCTGACAACCCTTACCTGTCTTTGCTCATCTTCATGCGGTTCATGTCCTTCAGGATGTCCATAACATCAGCAAAGCTGGTGGACTTTGACAGCGACACTGTATCCTCCTCTGCCTCCCGGAAGTCCATGCTGGGTCTGTCCAGGTCAAAGGTTGCTGATGCCGTCATGGAAACAGGCGGCAGAGGGTCGGGGACAAGCTCCGACACCACAGAGACAACATCTTTCTCATCTTCATCTTCTTCCTCCTCCTCCTCCTCCTCAGTGACATCGCTGATGACAAAGGAAGCGGCAGCCGTGGCAGCCGGCTGGTAGGGCGCGGTCTCGAAAGGCGCCATGGAGAAGCTCATACTGGTGTCGTCAGGGGAGAGCAGGTCTGGGGTCAGGGGGTTGGAGCCTGAAAGAAAGAGCAGGGTGGAGAACTGAGTGGGTCTGTAGTTTGACAGTGTTGAGAAAAAACAGATAAGGAAACTGAAAATATCCAGTAGTCCAAATGCCATTTCTATTTTTCTGTTTGTTTCCAATGTGAATTTGAAGCTTGCATATAGGTATGTTGTTTTCAGTAGCTTCCCTCCCAGGCACTATTACAACTTAAGTTGAGTGCTATGGGAGGGTGTTCTCTTAGCAGTATGTGATTTCTTTATAAGATAAGCATTTATTATTTTATACCCCTGAAAGCCCACATACTTCAAGGATCACATTACCTACCCCACAGCTAACTGCATCATTGTACTTATACACATGACACTATGATATACAAGCATGGAGGCCCAGTCTACGTGAGGGCCTTCCCCTAATCACAGACCATCTCACGGCACAAAATCCACAGAACTCAGGGTGCAGACCAGCTTGACAATAGCTATTTAAATCTGATAGCTGAAGTCTCTTATGTTCCTCTTTTAGAGAAAGAATTAAGTTTAAAATCAGCGGGAATACAATACACACGATCAAGGCACTTTCTCTCATGCCATCCCAGTTGGATTTTCAATGAGTGACACCCAACTGACCCTGAACTGCAGAGATTATCTTTGGTCGCTAACCTACAAACTGATGCCAAGACATCGTAGTAGCAAAGAGCTTTAGGAGAATTAGGTCAGCTTACTTGGCAACAAAAGGATCCCAGTCACATGAAGACAGCAACTCAGTGCTGAAACACAGGCTCAATAAAGCATAGTCTGAAGTTTCAATAAGTAGAGTTTCAAGATTTGTTACCATATCTCACATCCCTGTGTGTTTATCACAATTCAAATCTACAGTCAGTGTTTCTCACAGAATTAGAATTTTCTGAGTCAGCTCTACAATGAGATACAACTTTACTCATTATAAATAGTAAAAAAGAAAATTGAAAATAGCTATGTTGTATGTGATATTGTGGCTGGCTGCCACAAATAAATCAATGTATGGGAAACGAGTTTAAATTATGTACACTGCAACCCTTGATTTGGTTACCTACCAGAATCACTTGCCACAATCTTGGCGATCTGCGCACGGAGTCTGCTGAGCTCGTCCTGCAGGGCGGTAGTACGGTTCAGCGCCGTCACCCCAGGCTTCCTAAGTCCCTCCATCCTTTTGCCCTCACGGCGGAAGTTAGGCACAGATGAGTTCCTGTGGAGAACCAGGAGGGGCGTGGGCCGCCATTCGTGTTTCAGAGGACGAGAGTCACTCCTGAAAACAGAAGAGAGGGTGATCAGTGTTACTGAACAGTAACCTTTATTATATCAAACCTCATAGGGTTGGGTCCAGCTTATGAAGAATGCTGCATGCCATCTGATGCATTTCTGTTCTCCTCATAAAATGTCGCAGTATTAATCAAAACTTTGCCAGCAGTTTATTAAAGACACAGCCCTATCCAATAGCACAGTAATAATGCCGGTCTTCCTTAAGTTAATAATGTTCAACTTTCACCACAACCTAGGGCTGGATAAATCATTATAGAGCTGAATGCACACCTCTCTGACACAGTCTCAACAAAAACAGGAAATTATAACCATATACTGCATTTCTTTAGGCTGCACATGTGCTCCTAATAACTTAAAAGCACAGAAAGTATCTGATAATGCATTTGTGGAGTAGTGACTTGGCATTACTTAACAACCTTAGTGGTTGTCACTTAGGGCTTGACTGGATAATTACCGCACTCTGGCATATGTCTCTTCTTCATCTGCAACAATCCAGGCTATGTCTGCCAAAGTAGGAACCATAGGGCCATCCATAGGCCTAAGAGGGGGCAGGCCTGGTAGTTCCTAATACACAAGGACATAAGTTAATGGTGTATACACATGCATTTCTATTGGGGAATATACTTTATACAACAAGCATGTAGGACTTATGAGATCTGATATGTACCTGGAAACATGCCCTTTGTGGAGGTCTAAGTGGAAGAGTGGAACCTATTCTTCTCACAACGCTACGGGTGGATCCATGAGGCTTATTCTGCCAAATGGGAATTACTTCCTGCAAAGCATTTATAAATGAGTCTGTAATTTGCAATCCTGTACAATAAAGTGGGAGAAAGGCACTGTTAAGTTTAACAGGTTATGGTCAGCTAGGAAGCAAACTCACTGTTTCTGTTTCCATGATGATAGTAGTTCAGTCTCGTTCACTGGGAAGTTGCACACCAATGCTTGGTGAGGAAGAAGCAGTTCAGTAAACAGCCATGCCAGTACCACTGCCAACTCTTGGGATTTAATGAGTGATTAGTTACTGGAGCATCTGTTGATATAAACAACCAGCAGGAGAAATTAAGTGCATCATTACTTTACCGCCAAATTAAAACAAACAGTTTAGAGAGCATTAGAAAACTGGCACAAGAGAAACTAATCATTATTTTGATGACTGATTGACTAAGCAAGTAACTTTTCATGGTAAGGTCTCAAATTCATGTGGTTGATAAAGCTTCTGAATTTGCTTAGTTTTTGCTTTTTAGTATCACTAGAAAATACATGATATTACTTGGGTACGTACGCTTGCTTATGTTGGTAAACTTAATCAGCTCACCGTGGTTTGATCAACATATGAAGGAGCAGTGCTAACACAGCTAGCTGACTAACCAACACAGATTGTGTTAACGGTGCAGCTACAGCCTACTTTGACGGACGCGGACAAAACAAAATAATGAACGCCAGAAAGATCACATTTAGTGCAGTGATTTGTGAATACATCTGCTCAGCTCATCATTAGCCGGTAGCTAAGTTACGGGTATCAAAAACACACACCGTCAGTTAGCTTTAGCAGCACCAACAACGACCCCCTAAATGACCCTCAACTGTACACAAACACCAACATTTTTCAGTATGTTTCGCTTAAATGCAATCAACGGTGCGAGAGTCCGGGAACTTACGGTAGATTATGCCTGTATGTGGAAAAACTAACCCGTTAAATAATTTACGAGACACGGCCTCTCCTGTTTGTCTTTCAGACCGGAGTTGTGTTGTCGTTCTTTAGGCCGGAAACCTGTGCCTCTTCTTCTTCTTCTTCTTTAGGGTTTAATGGCGGTTGGCAAACCAGTTTAACGGTGCATTACCGCCACAAGCTGGACTGGAGTGTGGAACGAGAGATTAGGCAGGAAATAAATGAAATAAACAAAACCAAAACCAAAAAAAAAAAAAAAAACAACAACAACAACAAAAAAAAACCAAACAAAAATAAACATAAATTAAATTCTTTTTCCTAACTCAGTTTCTTTAAGAAACTTAATTATATGACAATATATCTGGCCTGCTGTTTTCCCCAAGAGACCCGCCAATGAGATATCATGATGTTTTGCCTTCCGTAATGACTGAAAGAGGCGTTCCCTATTGATAGTGTATCTCCTACACTGAAGGAGAACATGTTCAACCGTTTCTAGTTGGTTACAATATATACATTTCCCAGTTGGGTGCTTACCTATTTTATATAATGAAAGGTTGAGACCTGTATGTCCTATTCTCAGACGAGTGATATATTTTCTTCCCTACGTTTCCAGCCCACCATCCTTCCGGCACCAACCTGTCTCTGTACATTATATAGGTGCCTTCCAGTTTCACTGTTGTCCCAGTGCTCCTGCCAAACTGACTGTGCATAGGTCCTGATAAATGTCTTAGCTTCATCTTTAGTTAAAGGGGTTTTTAGGTCTACATGTTTGATTTTGAGTGTTCCTTTGGCCAGAATATCCACCTGCTCATTTCCCTCCACACCAACATGAGCAGGAACCCAAAGGAAGCATGTGGATAAGCCCTTTAGCTCCATCCTGTACAATATAAGGAATATGTCATTGAGGATTTTGGATCTAAATGATGATTTGCCAGATTTAATACTCATTAGAGCAGACAAGCTATCAGATGCAATGACAGTATTATTTGTTTCCCTCTCTTCTATCCACTGCAGGGCCAGTAATATTGCAGTCAACTCTGTGGTATACACTGAGACATGATCTGATATTCTTTTCTTGATATATGACTCACTTGCTGGGAAAAAGACTGCTGCACCTGCACGCCCTGTATCAGGATCTTTGGAGCCATCTGTGAATATAAACATGGAGTCTGAAAAATGTAAATCAAAGTAATTCTGTACTATACTGCATGCTGGAAGTTTCTTTGACATATCCTTCAACTCCTGCTGTATGTTTAGATCTACAATTGGTGTTGGGAATAACCAGGGAGGAATGGAAGACTGTGACACTGTAGGGCTGTAGTCTAATTGTCGTAATCCTATGACTTCTGCCTTTGCATCACCAATCCACCCAAAACTTGTGAAATTTGTCTCATTGTGTTCCCAGCAATCTATTAAGAGACTCTTGGCAGGATGAGAGTCACATTGCCCCTGGAGATTAACCCAGTATGCCAACATTAACTTTACTCGCCTGATTCTTAACGGCATTTCTCCCATTTCCACCTGCATTGCTGACACCGGAGATGTTCTGACTGATCCACTGCAAATTCTCAAGGCCTGAGCTTGTAATACATCCAACTTCTTAAGGTTTGATTCTGCTGCTGACATGTACGCTACACATCCATAGTCAAAAACGGATCTCATGAGTGCCCAGTATATATTTTGTAGAGCTGCTCTGCTTGCTCCCCACTCTTGTCCTGACAGACAACGAAGTATATTGATGACCTTTTTACACTTGTTCTTAACTTTATCTAAATGAGTATTCCAGGTGAGCTTCTCATCAAACCAAACCCCAAGAAATTTAATTGTTTTGACTTGCTTAAGTGGTTGTTCATATAACTTCATGGAAATAGGCGTGACTTTATGCCGCCTTGAGAAACAGATCACCTGTGTTTTGCAACAGATAACTTGAATCCCCATTTATTTGCCCATTTTTCCACAGCAGCTATTGCAGCTTGCATTTTCTTACTGACGTGCAACACATTGCGGCCTCTTACCCACAGAGCCCCGTCGTCTGCGTACAAAGATTTCCCTACGCTTAGTTCAACCTGAGAGAAGATGTCATTTATCATTATGTTGAATAGCAATGGGCTGCACACACTACCTTGCGGAGTTCCATTTTCCACCTTATATACACTGGAGTATTCTGTGCCAACTCTTACTTGTATTTCCCTGTCAAATAGAAAGTTCATAACCCAATTATATGTTCTACCACCAATACCCAATGACTTCAACTTAATAAGTAACCCTTCTTTCCAGAGCATATCATATGCTTTTTCAACGTCAAAAATACAGCTATCAGTATTTCTTTGTTGGTCTGTGCTTTCCTGATGTCTGATTCTAGGCACAGTACTGAATCCATTGTATTCCGACCTCTACGGAACCCACTCTGGTACGGGTACAGAAGAGCTTTACTCTCTAGGAAGTATGTTAAACGCTCTGTGACCATTCGTTCCATAATTTTGCACAAGTGTGAGGTTAATGCAATAGGTCTATAACTGGAAGGGTCTGACTGATCTTTTCCTGGTTTTGGAATGGGCACTATTATTGCTTGTTTCCAAGCTAAAGGAAGTTGGCCAAGATCCCAAACTTTATTAAACAAACCCAACACCGTGTCTAGTGCACTATCTGTCATGTGTGCCAACATTCCATAACATACAGCGTCCTTCCCTGGAGTGGTCTGACGAGCACTCGTAATTGCTCTTCTTAGCTCAAACATATTAAACGGTAGATCTAACGGATCTCCTGACACCTCCCTTTTCTCTGTTATTTTGGGATTCTTCATTAAGATTTCCTCTCTACACTGCCTAGCCTCATCTGTGAGATTACACGAACTATGAACCCTTTCAAATGTTTGTGCAAAAAGTTCCGCCTTTTCTAAGTTATTGACAGCCATTTTGTTCCCAGTGTTCAACACTGGTATCTCATAATTTCTTCTAATCCCCCCCATTCTTCTAATCATGCCCCATACATCTGACAGCTGTACTTCCCTTCCAATAGTGCTACAGTACTGCCTCCAAAATGTTCGTTTTTGTGTTCTAATTGTCCTCCTTACTATTGCTTGGGCCCTTTTATACAGGATCAATGCATCCTGAGAATGAAGTTTCTTGAGTTCTCTAAATGCTTTATTCCTGGCCTTTATGGCTTTACTACAGTTGTCATTCCACCAGGGTACACTCTTGGTCCGTTTAGTTCCTGTACTCTTAGGGATTGTTTCCTCAGCAGATTGAATAATCTCATTAACTATTGTACTATTGATTATGTTTACATCTGTCTGGTTCTCCTCTTTGAGTTTCTTGAATCTGTTTGTACTGATCTTTTGAAAAACATCCCAGTTAGCATTTCCCAATTTCCATCTGGGAGTTTTCTTTCCCTCATCATAAAAACCTTCAATGCCAACTTTAGTTACCACAGGGTAGTGATCACTTCCTATTGTGGTATGTTTGATCACACTCCATGTGCTTAAACCTGCTATTTCACTAGACACCAGTGTTAAATCAAGCGCTGCCTCTGTGTTTTGCACACTATTGTATCGTGTTCCTTCCCCATTATTAATACATACCAAACAGTGATTATCTATAAATTCTTCAACTGCTAAACCATTTAAATCGGTTTTATTGCAACCCCATAGTGAGTTATGTGAATTGAAATCCCCACACCATATCACATTATCTTGCAATAGTCCTCCTACATTCTCTAGTATATCTAGACTTATTTTCCCACAAGGATTATAGTAATTAATTATGCCAATATTACCTCTATTAGTCCATACCTTAACCGCAATTGATTCATGATCTGTGCTTATACGTATAACCTTATAACTCATTCCATTTTGTATGAATGTCACAACGCCTCCACCGTTGCCAGGATTTCTGTCTCTCCTAACAGCAGTATATCCCTTTATAATAAAGTCCAACTGTGGCTTTAACCATGTCTCCTGTATACAAATTATATCAGGTTTCTCTTCCAATTTATCAATATACTTTTTGAACTCTTGGCCATTTGAAATTAAGCTTCTTGCATTCCACTGGAGTATAATTAGCACCATTAAGAGGATCCAACACATGTCTGAGATGACTGATTATCTTCATTAAGAATGTCTTTAACTGTTTCCCAGTGCAGCCCCCTCACATCAAGGTACTTCTCAGCTGATTTGACAATTATTTTGATCCTTTCATTTCGGCTTTTTGTCTGTGCTGAACAGTTGACAATATCTGCCATAAAGAATACAAAGTCATTCTTGTTCACAATCAGAGTTTCCTCCTTCACTTTATCGCACCCTACACATTTCCCTGCATCTTTATTTCTAGTGTCATTTTGCCTTGTCACCTGCGCGTCTCCTGAAACCTTCTTTGCTGCCTCTGCGTAGCTTATTCCCTGAGTAGCCTTGACTCGCTGCACCTCTGCCGCTCTTTTACTAACTTCGCATCCGCGGTAAGCTGAGCTATGTTCTCCTCCACAATTACAACACTTCAGCTTTGTCCCCTCTGCACATTTGCCATACTCGTGGTTTCCACCGCATCTACCACACGTTTGCTTTCCCTTGCACACGGATGCTACGTGTCCGAACCTCTGACATTTAAAACATCTGAGAGGTGGGGGAACATACGGCCTCACATCATAACACATATATCCAATAAAGATCTTTTCCGGGAGTCTTTCCTCATCAAATGTGATCAGTACAGAGAGACTGTCACTTTTAATCCCATTTCTGCTTGCTTTAAGACGTCTGACTTCACTCACTTTGGCATTTGTTACATTTCCTTTAACATCATCTGCTGTTACATTTACTGGAATCCCTGTAATAACTCCCCTGACCAATTTTCTGTCAGTCATCAGAGAACATTGTACTTTCTTGCCATTTATTTTATTCATTCTGACTGCTTTTCCTTGTTGTACTCCATCCTTACATATAATTAGTAATGATCCATTTCGCAATATTTTAGCACTCCTTACCTCCCCGATTTCTTTACTTATGGATTTAGTTAGCTGTATTGGATTCCAATCGCAGAATGAAGCCCCATCTTGCACAAGTTTTACTATTGCCTTGAAATCCTCTCTCCTCCTTTCAGTTACAGTTGCTCTCCCGTCACTATCACTCCCATCCGATCTTAGGCTCTTTTTACGCTTATTTTTCCTACCTGCTATATTCCACTTTTCATAACTCCCGCCACCTTCGACCATCTCTCCTAACTCACTTCCTGAACCGTCACTTCCTTCTGCCATCTCTCGTCCACCAACCACAGCTCAGCTGGTAGATCAAACCTGTGCCTCTCTTTCCTGTGATTTGATTGGCTGAACCGACACGAGCGTTCTCTATCAGAACTGGTACAAGAGCGCCCCCACAGGTGGAGGTGAGCAGTGCTGAATGCAGGATACTATGGAGTAAACTGTAACCCATGGCAAGCCGGTTTAACATTTATTCCTTAAAATTTACTAGTCGCTATTTAAAAGATACTAGTACTTATTTACTAGTCACGAGTAACTATTCAATTAGATACTCTTTAATATTCCCGTTTTACTAGCAACAATTGATTAGATACAAGTACTTATTTTCTACTAGTCACTATCCCATTCTTACTAGTAAAAATGTTACTATGACTACTACTACTACTCATTAGTGAATGACTGGTAGACTCCAAACATTACTAGTAAGAAAGAAAATGTTACTTGTAGGCTATCTTTTGGAATAGTTAGCCTACAAGTGACAAATTAATAGGTACCAGCAGGCTATCTAAATTACCATTAACTAATAACTATTATTAATAACTATGGAAATAGTTACTAGTAACTATTCAAATGGTTACTGGTAACTAATGAATAGATGATATCTGAGCTGAGCTCCATAGATTACAATGGCAAAAATGTGCAATTAGTCACTAGTAACTAAATATAGTTACTAGTGACTAATGGTATAGTCACTAGTAATTAAAATTTAAGGAGGCCTACTAGTATTTAATCGTTACTAGTAAAATGGGAATAGTTACTAGTAATTAATGTAAGCAATCATTTACTACCACTACATGTATTGAAACGATATTGTGATATTATTTTAAATAATTTAAGATTCAGCATAAGTCTGCAGGAAGGATTCTTTCTGCTGCTACTGGTTTCCCAATGTAAATTTTAAGTAAAACAAAATACATACCCAATTGACCTCTCAGCAACAACTATAATGCTTCTGAAAACAAGCTTATTTAAATTTTTGTTTTTTGTTTCTTTTTTAATCTCATAAAATATTAATTTATAATCATGAAGATATAGAAAAAAATATAAAACTGTTAGTGAACAAGAGGCATTAAATAAAAAAGAAATACTATAGGATTAAACAACTGTATACAACAGACACAATAACATAAAAATCAATTTAGAACTCAAGAGCAAATCAATAAAAGAGAAATGGGTCCTTGGGGTCTGAAATCATTTTCAGTTCTTCATGAGCTCAGAGCATAGACTGTTTATAAAAAGGCTCAGAGGAGAAACTTGAGATAATATGTCTGACGGTCTGACAACACAAGATGAATCACTCCCAACTACTTCTGCCTTCGCTGTTGCCTGCCGGTTGGGGGGGAACTATCTTGACAATCGGTGCGACAGCACTGGGCGGAGCTTGAATATTGAACTTGTTAATGTTGTCTGCGGTGATACCATAAACACTGCAATATGAAGACTCACATGACCGCCACCCGTTTCCATCCCTGAACAACACACAGGTCAGTAAAGATACCGCTCACTTTACATGATGCCCCTATGAGTTCTTCATTTCTGCTAAACTGCTGATGTAAAAAAATTAAAATAAAAAAAATTCTGCCATAGCTGCAGTCTCGATCATTCTGTAATCTCGTCTGAAATGCTTCCTTCCTCCACGGGTTATCATTGCAACCCCAGCATTTACAGGAAGCAAAATGTAATTTCATTGTTTTAACCATATGCCTGAGTAATGTGAGAAGCTCTGAAGGATGCACGACCAAGCTAAGCTAATCCTGTTGCTGCTTGTAAGGCAGAGATGACTGACAAATCACCACGCGAAGGGATGTGTCATGAGTTGCCGAAATGAGGCTTTTGCACGATGTAGCCAGATGCATTCCATGATATGAAATTAGTCGTGGGTCATGTAAAAATATTTCTGTGCACTGCATACAGCCAGGCAATACAGTATGTGATCCATTTAGATGCACCATATTCATACATAATATTTTACTTCAAATTATTATATAAATATTAATTCTTAAACTAGTCAGAAGTGCTGGTCAGCAACCTTGGAGCACAAGTTCAGAGATATTGATTTCAAGCACACTCATGCAGGCTAATTATATGGATTGACAATTAAATTGAAGGCTCCATTACAATGTTAAATGTCTAGCTCACTTCCTTATGGGGGGATTGTGGCTGCAGGTACAACTTTGACCCCTTTCCCTCCCTCTGCCTAGATGTTTGTAAAATCAGCCCACATTTTATGTGTAGGTGCTGTAACTGGGGCAAAAAGTAGACATGGGGAATAAAAGGAGGAGGGAGGATGCCAGCTGAGACCCTCATCCCTATACAACTGCCAACATCAGACTAAAAAAAAACACAGAGAAAATGGCTCAGTCTGTGAGGAGGCCCAAGATTCTAGGAGCCATGGACCACGAGCCACAGAGGGACATGACCAGGACCAGCTACTTTGGCAACGTCAAGACCAGGTCAGGCCTCTAAATACCTGCTGGATTACTGGAAGGAAAACAAAGGAGAAAGCTCCAAGTGGACATGTGACATGTTTGGCTGGCATCTGCTATACAGATTTAAGCATGCTACAATTCACTCTTTCATTATTCTATTAATTTCATAAGAAGGGTGTCGTGTCCAGTACCACTAAGCAGGTGTCAGACTACAATACATAAAGGGTCTATTTTTTATCCGCTGTTGTCACTGAAGGACTCCATCATGTGCGTGAGAGCTGCGGCATGTTGCCAGAAACTTCCCTGGCCATCGCGCAGACGACTCCCACTCCCCTATAAATAACTCTGATCAGACTATGAACGCTGCTCTATACAGCTATTTACGCATCAAATACTCGAACAACGAACCCTTAAATCCCTGCAATTAAAGGGGAAATCCAAATGTATTTTTATAATTATATTATTATTTATATATATTATATATATATATTTTTATAATTCTATTGAATATCCACGCTCATATATATATATGAGCGTGGATATTCAATTTGACCATAAGGAGCGGTACATGTACAGATGATGTAAACTTAACGAATTAATTCTGAATAAAGACTGAGATGTGTTTGAAAGCTGCAAAAGCTAGTATGTGGACCTTTGAACTTAGACTATTTTGTTACTATAATTTTGTTGTGTATAATAATTAGTCGATTGACAGAACATTTATTTATATAACTTATAATCACTTTGATAATTTAATCATCCTTTAAGAAATCTTTCCAGCACGAATGCCAGAAATTCCCTGGCTCCTGCTTTTGAAATGTGTGCATTTGCTGCTTTTCTATTTCTTACCTGATACTAAATTGAATAACTTTGGTTTGTTAGATAAAATGAGCAATTTTAAGATGTCACCTTGGTTTTCCATAATATTTGATGGCCTTTTTTCACAATTTTCCAACTATTTTATTCTATAGACAAAAAATAATCAGTATAAGAATGTAGATGTATTATAGGTAGTATTAAACACCTCAGTATTTATTTGTGAATTTGAACCTGCAGCAGAGACTGTGGAGATCATTGTTGTCAATAAAGAAATCAGCTGTTTTATAGACATTGGAAAAAACAAATCGTATGATACATGACCATATGATTCCAGTGAACTCATAAAGTGGTTTTAATGGAATAAGAGGACCTTTTTATGACTTACATGGACTGAGTTATTAATGCTTTGTTGTTTTTTTTAGCATAAATTTAGACTTGTGTGTGCAGATGTGTAACCTACTTAAATATAAGATAATGGATTCATTTACATCTTATCCGTTTTTTCTGCTCTCTCTCTCAGACTGGGTTCCAAGCTCCCTCCTGGCGTCTCTCAGCCTCCGCAGTTTGCTAAGCGGCCCTGGGAGACTTCACCCCGTGTGATGGAGGAGCCAGCAGCCAGCAGCCAGCGGCAGAACCAGCCCATTGTGGGCCGGCCCCTGAACCACATCCCCCACATCAGAAATCCCAAACTGCGACAGTACTACCTGCAAGGTGCTCCTGTGCTGTTTTCTATCCCTGGGCAGGGAGAGGTGCTGTTTGCATCCAAGTAGAGGCACAGGAGAGGCCGTAGGATGAACTCCAGCTTGAATTTACATTTCATAATTCTCACACTTTAAGTTAATAAAAGTTATTTTCATACATAGAGGAATGGCGAGCATATGCGCCATAGTGTATTAATCCTGTTAGGGGCTCTGCTTCGTCACACGTGCAGGATGTTCTGTCACAAGGCGTGACAGAAATTGTTTTTTTGTTTTTTTTTGCTTACAGGGACTTCATGGGATTTAAACAATACTGCAGTGATGCAAGAGCACAAGGATGGGTCATCAGATAACAACACAAGCTGCAGGGTGAGTCACATGTTTTTGACTTTTCAGGGAACAGGTAAGAGAAGAATTGGGAAGTTTGGGAAGTTTGACAGGCAGATAATGGATTTATAACTGCATCTCTATATAATCTGGTTAGGTATGCTGGAGGAAGCCTGTGGCTGCTCGTAATTGGTTTCACAATTTATAGTCTTTAAAGTGTTTGATAAAGAGCGTCCAAGGTTCACAGCTGTCAGAGCCGTTCTCGAACACCATGAGAAAACAGAGTCTCTTTCAGAGCCTCTGCCACAAGTACAGCCGGAGGAATGTCTATTCAGACGTTTATTCTAAGGTATTTGTCAGCTGGGTTTGTGTGCTGTTTCTGTCTGCCTGTGAGTATTATCATGAATCTGGAAAGGGAGTTAGCGCTTATTACTCAGCGCTCTAGTCTGATTTGTTTCACCTTTGCTTGGAAATTTACCACATCATCCTTGTTTATCATCATCTTTCCTTTTCTTCCCTTCCATGTTTCCTCTCGCTTTCAAGTCATTAACCTTTCACAGCTTCTTTTAGAAATAGATGATTTTTCCTGGTTGCAGTTGTAGCATTCATATTTTTGAGCCGAAGAGGAAGCACAATGTAAAGTTGCCAGTTTATTAGGTACACCGACCTAAAACTAATGCACTCTAACACAACAACCCTGCTTCAGTTATTGTTGAAACTGTTGTTGTAAAAAAGGGGTTGATTCAACTTCATGTATTTTGTAGTGATGTTGAATTGTATTGCTTTATACTAAGATTGAATGTTAGAAACACCTCTCAGAGTGTATGTTGACAGTGAAAGTAGTGATTTAAAGCTGCATATCCTGCTTTTTTAAATTTCTGAGCAGCTTGTGTTTGTAGTCTCAGAAGTCATGTTTTAAAACAAGGGAACGTTCAAATCACACATACAGATCCAGACACATCCACACGTTCACACACATAAAAAAACTACACCGTTTTTTCTTTACTCGAAAATAGTAATGTATTATATTCACGCGTTTGCATCCAGTTGTTCTGATTCACAAAGGTTTGAACTGATTTAGAGTGGAAGAACTGCAGTGAGACCTGCACAACAATAAAAACCTAATAATTATAGAATTATTAATAAGTAGTTCCTGAATATCTCAGAATCGAGGACTGTATCGATGATAATGGAGAGTTACAAGAGAACAGACTGGGAGATACTAATAGGTCATTACATACTGTAGTATTAGTTCATAAATATCTTTGTGAGTGCAGTTTTGACGATGGATGCAAAATATGTTGTTCACCCCCAAAACAAACTCACTTATCTTACAAATGAATTTAGAACACCTCCTTGAGAACTGGAGTGTGATCAGATTTTTTGTATTTTAGGGTCTCCCTGAAGACACAGTGTTCAGCGTGTCATCTCAGTTCAGCAGTAACAGTAGGTCCTCGGCAGAAGGAGGCAAAATGGGCCACGTTCCCTCCCATTCCTCTTCAAGTGTACCCTCCTCCTCTGCTTCCCTCCTCTCTAGAGAGGTAAGAGTCAACTGTAAGCACATGATGGAGCTTGACGCACTAATTCAGTGTGTGTATTACATGTGTAAAATGATGGCACTGTTTTTTTGCCTGCTGTGGTTGACTGGATTTGCAATGCAAAACAGGACATTTGACCTCTCTGCCTTATAACATCGGCTACGAGTTTAGCTTTGGGCAGGAAGTGTTGCTTCATCTTAAACTATTTCAGGCAGTCAATACCTCACCCAGACACCTATCCTTGTGAGCAAACACAGACTGATAATATGTAATTTGTACTCTTTATTCACAGTCTTTTTAATGGCATATATTGTAGCTGTAAAAATATTCTTCCAGCCCTCATCCAAAACCATCATGAGTCACATGGAGCTGAGATGTCACTACAAACAAAGAGAAGTGGGGAAAACAGGCCTGTAGAGAGAGGAAGTAGTCACTCTTGTCACCGGGTTATAGTGTGTATCTATTTCAATGTCAGAGCTATTCTTATCATGGCTTTCACTCTGAAGCAGCTGGTCGTACCAAAGGGAAAGAACACTCCCACCGGTGGAGGATCGTCTCAGCCAGAACTGGACTCTGATCTTAAACCAAAGCAAGAGCGGGTTGCAGATCCAGACTCTTTGGATATACTCGCTGCTCAGCCTCCTTCCCCCTCACCAGACGCAGAGTATGACAAACTACTGGTGAGTAGAAAAAATAACTTCGATGACATTTTCTGTAATTCAGAAAGCACTAATTTTGCGATGTGCTATAACATACACGTGTTACTGTAGTGAAGAGCAGTGGAAAGTAAAGTACTCTAGTACTGTACACTTTATACTACTTTAATCCACTACATTTGTTTTACAGCTGTAGTTACTAGTTACTTTTCATATTAAGGTTTTAAGATTGGGGGTTTGTAAGATTTTACATAAAATACATTACATTGATAAACATTAAGTCAGTGATTTCCAATCATGTTGACCATTCTCCCCTCTAAACTTTGGTTTCATTTGAATAGCCATTGAAATGGGTCAAATTAATCTATTATTTACATTACATTTATTCATTTAGCTGCCGGTTTTATCCAAAGTGACTTACAAGGTTTCGAGAGATGCCTTTGGAGCAACTAGTGGTTACATGTCTTGCTCTGGGACAAATTGGTGGATGTGTCACAGTGGAGAATTGAACCCTGGTCTCTCACACCAAAGGCATTAGTCTTATCCGCTACGCCATCGCCACCCCTATTTCACAACAAGTCAAAGATTAAAGAAAAGTAGAAACAAATTTGTGTAGCAGAACTTTCTTTTTTCTTCTTTTCTAGCCCCATTAATTATCTGACGACACCTCATATTATCTCATGACTCTTTGGAGGGGCCTGACCCGTAGGTTTGGAACCAGTAGACTAAACCACCTAACTGTTTACAAAGTAAATAAATCAGCTCCATGTTGACCAGCTACAAGTTACACATTGAGGCATCAGTATAATATAATATATATATATATATATATATGTGTGTGTGTATATATGTGTGTGTGTGTGTGTGTATGTATATATGTATATGTGTGTATATATATATATATATATATATATATATATCTCATAATGTATCATTCACAGGAGACATTTTACTGCATAACAAGTAATTTTATTTTGATACTTAGGAGTTTGAATTCAAGAATTTTACTTGTCATGGAGTATTTTGAATCTGTGGTATTGGTACTTTTACTTAAGGAAAGGATCTGAGTACTTCACTTTTCACCACTTGTAGAGAGAAGGATGAAGAAGCGTTCCTTAGGTTTTTGGGTTAAATGATATATTGATATATCTTGCCACGTACATTTAAGAATAATTTGTTGAGTCTAATTAAGTGTCAACTGAGAAAACTTCAGTTGACTTCAGCTTTCACATTTCTCTGCACTTGCGCAGGAAGTAATTGAGATAAGAAAGGTGTTTTCATCACAGAGAAAACCATATAGACACAAAAATCTTTCCTTTCCTTTTTCTTCTGGGCTACAGTTGCATTGCTAGCATTTTTAAAATTTCAATTTTATATGGGGCTGCAACTAAGAGTTATTTTCATTGGTAATAAATCTGACAATTATTTTCTTGATTAATCATTCGATCTGTAAAACATTAGGAAATAGTAAAAAAAAAAAATTCCCCATAGCCCAAGCTGACATATTAGAAACCCAAATATATTCAAAAATCACAGGTAGAACCAAACAAAGGTAGAACCAGTACATTTTTGCTTAAAAATGGACTTTAATGGTTAATCACTAATCATAATTGTTGTGGACTAATGTAAATGCTCCATTTCTAGTCTTTTCGACCACTCAAAGCGCTTTTACACTACCAGTCACACACATTCATACACTGAGCCTAAGTGCTCAAACGGAAACTAACATTCGCACTCACTCATACACTGGCGGAATTGCCGCCAGGGGCAATTCGGGGTTCAGTATCTTGCCCAAAGACACTTCGACACGCACGGGAGCCAGGGATTGAACCGCTGACCTTCCGATTAACGGCCAACCCGCTCTACCTCCTGAGCCACAGCCGCCCCGTAGCATGACAGCTTTTATTTTATCATAAGGCTTATTTTGTTAACACTGATGTGTACTGCTGACAGGATGTGGAGGCGGTGCCGATGCCTGACGGACAGCTTTGCTTACTGGCTCTGCCACCAGAATGCTGTCAGGGGGAGGGACCAGAGGCCATGCAGTACCTCAAACTGTTCTGTCGCTACATCACCGACCGTAAGGTGGGTGTGGGAACTGCACTTGCGTCAGATCTCCATTTTCTACACGTGTAGACATATTTCAACATTTCCTTTCCCTGTCTGTTAGGGTGTGGTTTCCGGTATCCTGTTGGTGACTTCTAATAAGATCTTCTTTGACCCGTTTAAAACCCATCCTCTGGTGAAGGAACATGGCTGTGAGGACTACCTCCTGTCGTGCTCTGTTGACAATCTGGCATCTGTCTCCTTCTTCTCTGACATCTCGAATATTCACTTCAACACATCCCAGCAGAGGTCAGCAATGATTCTCTGTTTCTAAACACAACACACAAACTCACTGGATTAGATTACATGTAAAGTCAATACAAGTGTTTTTTTTTTATTATTTTCTTAATAGGAGAAAAGGAAAGAAAATGTTCCAGAAGTTGAAAACTGCCAAAAGGCGAGCAGGCGGATTCCCAAACCAGGAGGAGTCAGTCCCTGCTCTGGTGTCTGTGGCTCCGTCAGAATTGTCCAGTCTGGCTCTGAGTCTGACCAAAGAGTTCTCTGAGGAGGAGGGGGCAGAGAGCAGAGACATGGCAGAGGCCGAGGGGAGCTTGATAGCAGCCCGCTGGAGGTGCTGTCAGAGGCTTCTGTGGGTGTCCTGGGGGTGGCTGTCCTGAGCAGTGCTACCACCTTCTGCTGTGGAGGTCAAGAGGAGGCGAGCAAAGTGAAGACGGAGCGGCTGCACTCCTCTGTGAAGAGTCAGACCGCAGGTATGGACGTGAATTCAGATCAGTCTGAGAGATGGTTTACTTTCTTGTTTTATTTCATTTCCTCCAACTCTTGTACTTGTTTACTTTCAGCGCCTCTGAGGTCATCAGCAGGTAGTCCCGGCAGTCTGATGTTTGTGCGACTGCGGGCTCAGCCGTCTGCAGGAAAGAAAAAGGGTGTTGGAGGCCTTCAGCTGGGGTTGGCCAAAACCTTACCCAGAAGGGATTCCTGGCTTGCCCTCTCACAAGACAGGTACAGTAATGGCCCTAGTCTGGATAAAGCTCCAAAAACACTAGAGCCTACATTTCCCATAATGCAACTCATTAGCATCTTTCATTAGACTCTGCCTGCCCAATAAATACCATCTTCATTTAAATCCCGCACTTCCAGTTTGTGTTAAAAAGTTTATATCTCATGCCCAAGCCAAAATAACTCTGATGACATCACTATCACACATCAGGGTTATTATTATTCAGACTTTTGGAAAGCTCCTTCAGAGCAACAGAAGACATTACATAACTGTTTTCATAGGCTGTGTAGAACCTCACCTGAACCTCCCTGTCCACATTAACATGTTCCATTGTTCCATCGACTTGCAACGCTCAAACTGCTTCAGATGAATATTTACTTTCTCTGTTAACTAATCTCTCATCACTCATTAAACATTGTCAAAACATAAGCATCACCTTGACTATAGTCCAAAGGTAGCTCTTTTGAAAATAAATCTGTCAACAGTTAGTTACATATGATTCAATCATGGTGAAAGGGCAAGTATGGCATCCAAACAGTAACCAAGTAACAGTAATCAAGTGTGGAAGGTAAATAAATATAATTACTATATATAATACTGTATTACCTGTACTGCACAATTTTGAGTTACTTGTACTCAGTTATTATTTAGATATACATACTCAATACTTGAGTATTGATTTTACTTACTATACTATACTATAGTTCTATTTCACTACATTTCATAGGCAAATATTGTACTTTTAACTCCACAACATTTAATTCACAGCTACAGTTACTAGTTACTTTAAAAAACAACATTTATCAACAAAACGTGTCATCAATTTATGAAGATTATGTATTTTTATGGATGGAACTAACACAACACTAATAAGGTCCTTCTGAAAAATTACATACTTTTACTTATGATACTTTTAGCACGCTTTAGTTATCAAGACGTATGCTCTTACTGAATGCAGGACCTGCAGTGCTTCTTTACTTGTAATGGAGTATTTGTATAGTGTGTTATTGCTACTTTTACTTAAGTAAATTACCTACATGCTTACAATACTATTATGTAAATGTTACACTCTCTTCTAACAAGTGGTCCTCTCTGAAGAGGTGACCATTTAAAACAAACAACAAAAGAAAACCTGAGTACAACACTGCCTCAGTCAAAGGAGAATTACTGATTTAAGAATATATTTATAAAAGTACCTAAAAGTTACATTTAAAAGCGTCTCAGTCTCCTCCTGGTTACGTCTCTTCTCACCATGTTGACACAGCTGTTGGGGTTGTTTGCCATTTTCAACATGTCTTAGCCGGTGCTTTCTTCTCCCCACCGCCCCCCCGCAGCTCTGATGAGCTGTATGCCTACCTTACACACTGTCGACCAGATTTATGTATACTTGAGGGAGGAGAGGAGGAGGGGGAGGCGGACCACGACGAAGAGGAGTTCGTGCTCATAGAGGACAAAGAGGAAGAGGAGGAGGAGGATGAAGAAGTGCTCCAGAGGCACCGCAGCTCAGGTGACGACTGGGAGGTGAGTGTTTACTTTCACAGGAGAGAAGACTTATTGACTCAAAAAATTTGAGTTTTCAAGCCTCCAGACATTCTAGAACGAACCGACTTCTACGTTTTGTTTTGTATTTTAATGTGTTGATGTTTCTCTGCAGATGGTGTTGATGGAAGAGAGTGAGGACAAGCTGACCCTGGTCATTGACAGGGATCCTGAAGGTCTCAGTAATATTGTAGAGAGCAGCCGCATTTTAGAAGCCGCACATGTCCGAGAGGTGAGTGACACACACAGCATACACAGACTTTTCACGCACATCTTCAGGGTTCTTATAACTACTAACTTGGCTGCTTTGGAAAGAGTATATTTCAAAATCATGTTGCATCATTAAAACTTATGAAACACTTATGATATTTCTCCAATGACCCTTTTCTTACTTTTAACAAAAAAAATCACATTGACAGTCTTTTGGACTGCAAAAGGGACTTCAGCTGGACTTTGCGACTTTAGAAACGTGTAAATCAGTTGCTAGGAAAGATCTGTAGTGTTGTCCAATCAAAAGCGATCAACTATGTAAACAAGAAGTGGCTGTAACATCACCAGTAATATAAAAATAACAGTTTCAGGGGGGCCAAGCGATATGTTAAACTTAAGTGCCAATTGTTTGTGAATGTAGGTGTGACTTACGTGTGCATACATGGGGGAATATGTATTTCAGAAATAGTTGTATTAATTAAGCAGTTTAGAAGTAGAAGTACATATTTAGTTTAACGTTATAACTCTTCTGTTTCTTTAACGTACTTGGCATATCTGAATTAAATAGAATCTGTGATGATGATGGTTAATAAGCCTGCTGAAGCTGCACCTTCAAGTGTCAGTAAAAAAAGCAAGAGGTTTCTCCCTTTTTTTCCAATTACAGTTTTCTTGGGGAGTCTTGCCTTTAATGTGATTTTGGGCTCTAGAAATAAAACTGACTTTAGTAGAATATAATCCATATTACATGTAGACTTCCTTCTATACAACTTATAAATTAGCAAAGTAGTTTTGTCAGATGGTTCAGTCAGCCATTGAAAAGTTAGCTACACCAGGGAGTTAAAGTAGGAGGTTAAATATTTAACAGCTAAACTCTGTAAGAACTAGTTCGTGTGGTGTAGCAACACTTGTGCTTCAACCACACATAGTTAAATTCAGAAGAGCTGGTGCGACTGGGTCCAGAGCCAGAGCAGAAGAGTGCGCTGTTTGTTGTGTGGATCAAAGTTATGCTAATTTAGCTTTCAATGGCGCATTAAAATCCCCTTCTTATTGTACACAAAGTGCTACGTACCTAGCATTTAGATGTCAGATGTTCATAGTTATGCTCCTTCCTTCCTTACCTTTGTTAAATGTTTCTTCCCTGCTTTAATCTTTTCTCAGCTATGTAAGGAGCTTCCCCCCAGGACTGTCGGCTACACCTGGCAGCTGGCTTACAGTACGTCCCGTCATGGCTCCAGCCTCAAATCCCTCTACAGAAAACTCAGTACCACAGACTCCCCCGTGCTTATAGTCATCAAGGATGCGCTTGATGAGGTAAAACACACCTGGACGTTATCTCTGATATCGGTTATAGATGTTTGTAATGTCTAAAAAATTGTTTTGTTATTGTTGCCGCCTCTTGTGGATTTGCTATATCAGATATTCGGGGCCTTCCTCTCTCACCCTCTGAGGATCAGTGAGACATTCTACGGCACAGGAGAAACCTTCCTCTTCATGTTGCATCCTCGCTTCAAGGTAAGCCACCTAACAGAAATTTAGCATTTTATGTAAAGTCAAAATGGCAGAGTGCTCTAATTAAATAACTAGGGTAAGATAGCTGCATGTGACAAGTAAGTCGAATCTGCCTTTTCCCTGCAGTGCTTCAGATGGACAGGAGAAAACTCCTTTTTTATTAAAGGAGACTTGGACTCCTTTGCTATTGGTGGAGGCAGGTAATGCATTCAGTTTTATGTTCTACCTGGAATTTATTCAGCAGATGTGGTTAAAAAAAAGGGGGGAAAAGACACATTTCTGTAAAAACCATTTCTTTTTCTTTCCTACTCTTTGTCTCTTTTTCCTGCAGTGGTCACTTTGGTCTGTGGGTGGATGAGAATTTGTACCTGGGTCGCAGCAGCCCCTGCTACACCTTCAATAACTGCTGCCTCTCCGAAACTGATGACTTCCGGGTAATGGAGCTAGAAGTGTGGACGTTCAGCTGAAGAGACCGAGCGGGCCGCTGAAATTCTCTTTGACTCACCTCGTCCCTGCTGATCAGCTTTTATGAAGACAGCGTTTATCACTGAGCAAAAACAAACACAGCCACTCATTCATTTCGTGGTTACATATATGTCAAAAAAAAATCTACCACAAACTGCTGAATCATCCGTGTGATTAACTGCTGTGGATTTTAGTGAACTGAAATGAACTGATCTTGAGCAGCTCGATGTCCCAGTGTGGACTGTTTCGTGGTTGACTCATTCCTGTGGGTTTGGCAACCAAGCTGAGTTCAGCTGAACTGAGCGGAGCTGAGCTGTTATGAAACTGGATTTTTGAATCCTCATTTTTGAATGGAGTTGGTTACAAGTCTGAGACTGCACTTTGCTCTTAATGTGAATCAGTAACTTCATGATGTCTCATCGTTGATCGTCCGAACATGACAGTACACCTGTCTCTATAGGTAATGCATGTACCCACTTTCTCTGTGTTCAGTTGATGCTGGACGTTTGGAGCACACATTAGTCTTCTTATGAATAGATTTCTCTATTGAAAACCATACAGCACGTGCACAGCCCACAAATACAAGCGCCCTTCATCAGACTCCAATCATTGTTATGGGTGGTATAAATTAGCATCAAAGACAGCAGAAATGAATGCTGAAAATAATCGTGAGGAGAAAAGCTTCCCAACTGAAGAACATCTGTATTTTCAATGGATCTTAGTCTCATTCACGACTATTCTGGACTCTTTTCATTCCAAGTGCTGACTCATACGCCACTGTGGTTTCTGAACATGAAAGATAAAGCTCGAGAATTAACTTCAAATCATTCAACTGTATCCGTAAAGTGCTGTCACGCCGAATGCTTGATCTACTTGACTTCTACTTTGTAGATTAGTTAATAAAATCAGCACAAAGTGAAAATGTTAACTCTAAAAACATTTGTGTGATTGTTAAACTGTACTGTGCGTGCTAAATGTTTCCAAAAAGAACACAATTTCAGTTTGTAAGAGTAAAACCGGTTTTATTTGACCACAGAATAACAGTGTTGCCCCCCTACAGGCTCAGAGCAGTCAGATGTTTCACCCTGTATGACCTTGAAAGTCAAATTCCAATTTATCAAATTTCCTTGTTACTATTTCTAATTAGTTTACCTGTTCCCCCCCGTTTTCTTCCATTTCATACTTAAGAACAGAAACTAGGACCTGAAGAGGATTTATTTTGTAATGACTGGAAAAGGTGATAATGAGACAAATTGTGAAAAAATAGCTAATTATAGGTCCAGATTGTCATCAAGGATTGCCTGCTGTCTAGCTAAAGACACAAGAAAATACATAGCTTTGATTGGAGCCAAAAAGAGGATAACTGTATACAGTAACATGTGCCTCTCGTGATACTTTGACTATTTGGTTCCATTCGAGTTACATAAATATGTAACTAATATGTAAATGTAATGTAAATGTAATGTAAATATGATGTGGCACCCAACCTATGCAGGCCAGCTCCTGTACATATTAAAAACAATGTTCTTTGTGTGGTCACATCATCTTCATCAATATTAAACATTTGGTTTCAAACTCAAAATACAAAAAAAGCAACTGAATTGATTGCTTTATGTGCCACAGTCCAGTTTCGTTTATTATTTTTTTCCTGCTGCTTTTTGTCCACCGAGTCAGAGAAGGGTGTTCCCCTCCAGCAGCCTCAGCATTAACATCAGGCGTTGCCCGGCCCCGAGAGAGCTTTCAGGCAAAGTCTTCACAAACTGCTGAGACACAACTAAGAGGTAACAACTGTACCAGTCCCGTCTCTGGCTCAGCAGCATGGGAAAAAAATCACTCAGTCATTATTAAATATTGCACATGCAACACCAGAATATAAAAAGAAGAAATATAGGATGTTTCGGTACGTTATGATGCACTTGTGATTTGTCGTAGGAATGGCCTCTGACTACATTTTATATAAACATTAATCAGCAGCTATGAGCAGAGAGAGCAGATCTACATGTGTTTACGTATCTGTTACTGCTCAGTGTGCATGTATACTGTACAGCCAGTAACATTACGTTTGAGATGTAATATTTCCCTGTAGGTCTATATGGACTGTCACAATACAAATACAGTATATAAAACTTTATGACCAAGAGAGACGCCCACCTAAATAAATAGTAACAAAAAAAGACAGAAGGCAAAAAACTTTTTCAGCTGCCAACACTGATTCGAACACGTGTCTACATAACCGTCGGAGGGTTTTCCTTATCTTAGATCATTGCCCAGAGGAATGACTATCGTTTACTTCACACAAACACAAATTACTGTGCAATGTACTCCTTGGCTTTTTCCAACCCCTCCTTGAGGAAGCTGATGTAAGTGGATGTGGAGGGGTCTTCAAACCCGCCAGAGAAGCTGAAAGTTGCTCCTTCCTCCTCTGGTTTCATGGCTGTCTGGTCCAGGAAAAAGTTGGCATTGATGTGGTGGACCTAAAGCCAAGCACAGGAGGCAGATGAAAGCCTTTATTCATCCCAGAAAAATAAAACTATAGATTATATCAGTAAATATCACATGTCATGACAGTGGGACTAAAACTACATGAAATAATTTAAGTACAACTGGGATGAAACATTCTTACCTCAAAAGTTAAAAGGGGACTTTGACCTAATAGGTTCCAATTTAAGCCTTGTCCTTGATTAAATTTATTTACTTAGTAATGATTTCATCAGGGGTGCTTCTACACATGATTTCCTGGATGTTTCACACATTGTAGGCTTTTAAAAGAGTGAAACACTTACAATAGTTCCATTTGGCAGTGCCACCATCATCTCCACTGGGAAGCTGTACTTCTCCAAGTGTAAACGGGCCTTTTCACTCAACGCAGGGTTCTGCTCATCAGCCTGTTTAAGAGAAGAAACATTAAGTACAGCATACTTACTTAAGATTTGAAAATGACACAACTGTACTCCATGTGAATAGAGTATCATGCATTTTTCAGTCAACTGATGACTGTCTGAATGTCTTGTTGCTCTGTCCTGACTGCTCACCTGCATGTTCTCCAGCTCTCTGACCAGAGACCAGCTGCTTATGAAGCTCTGGTTGAGCAGGGCCAGGACGGGCGAACTTTCCAGGACTGTCTCCCGGAGAGTTCGCCCCGAACCTACAGGAGTTGCGACAGAGGGGAGACGGAGATGAAAAATACACCAAAGTATACAATTCAAAACCCTTTATGACGAAATGGTTATGCTTTTAAAAGTGAGACATGGAGATTCTGCTGAACAGCGGTCATGGTGTAAGCAAGGGACAGCAATAGAATAATGCTAAAACGCTAACATTAGCACAAGTGGAGAAGAGTCATTGAGTCAATGTGCGCTATAGCTAACATTAGCCACCACATGCTAATGGTCAAACCAGACCGAATAAGGCTGCTGCTGCAAAACCACTGAGGGTACTGAACTAAATTAGGGTGTGTTTTATTGCCTATGAATGCAACTTTTTATTTGTAAGAGGAAGAATGTGTTTTTTCCTTTTTTTTTGCTCTGTGACAAACCAAGTGGCCTGAAACTTGAAAGTGCAGTCTTATCTTCACAGTTAACACTGATATAAAGTTGATTTGATATAATAACAGTAATAACAGTTAGATGTTTCTACTGACTGAAGATTAAACTAACTGTGCCAACGGGCTCGCAGACTGAGCCCTGCTTGTGCCTGAGAAACAGAGCTTTTGAACCATGTCTTATATAAACCTGTTTTTACCACATTTGGATGTAGTCCGTTTTTTGGCCTTGTACTTTAAATCTTTTCTCAGATCTCAGTAACAGAGTGCAAAGCTGTGAATCAACCGCATGTTAATGATCCCACCTCAGCAGGACTGGTCGTCCAATGCTCCCCAAAGCAGAATGGAATGCACCAATTTCTTCTCTGCGTCAGCTCGCTCAAAGGCTTCTGAAAAAGGCAAGTAGGGCACCTGGGTAGGAGCACAACGAGAACCATGAAAGCAGATGTGAGGACAATGAAAACAGCTGTGTTTAAGCAAACGTTGCGTTGAGTAAACACTTTGTGGATGTTTACCTTCTTGAAGGGGTAGAGGGTGACATCCAGGCGTCGAGCAGCTTCTTGCCGACTGATCTCTGAGGTCCAGTGGATGTCCTCAAAGACAAACTGGATCGGTTCAGCGCTACCATCTCGACTGTCGATGATGTTGCCCTCCTGGTCCATGATGATGGAGGGTGTGGACGGGCCTGTGGACTGCAGCTCTAACTGTAGACACATTAATAACTTTTTATACAATGCATTTATAAACATTACATAATTCACTGTGACTTTATTTTTGATTATCTTAGAGAAATGATTTTTATTATCTTTAACATATTTCAGGTAGAATTAGTAAGTTAAATGAAAAATTAATACCTTGGGCTGCACTAAGATAAGAACAGGACGCGCTGGAATATCACATCAATGAAGTAATAATACATGCATCCTTTCAGTGAATTGCTGCAGCTGTACCTGTGGCAGGTATCCGATGTCCACCTCCATGTTGCTGCTCTCACTGGCACCGTACAGCCACTCCATGTCCACATTCAGAGACCTGGGACACAACAGGACACATCACACCAAAGCTACAGCGGCTGACAAGACGCCAAGTGGAGACTGTATGCACAAAGGTGACGGCCCGTGTGAAGGATTTACCGGTCTCCGGGGACATAGAGGTGAAAGTGGCGGACATGAGACGCATCTTTAGACAGAACAATGTTGCCGGTGAATTGCCCTGGCGTGAACCAGAAGGGGAAGTCTGGAACATCATTGAGCTGGAATTCTGCGTGAATCCTGTCAGAGGTGAACAGAATGAGTAGTTAGCACCGCAAGATGTGTGACAGTAAGTGACAGGAAAGCCTCCGTGTAGCCTTTTAAAAGTACATTTCTAGCCTCTTTATCACAAATTGTGTATACTTAACATTACTGCTGACCACTTTCCAAACCATCAGTTATAGATTGATTCCAAACCTTCCAGTCATAGGCTTTATTCCACAGTTTATAAATAGATAGCTTTATATTTGCTAATGTTGCATTACTGTCACACGGAAATGTAGTTGTGAGTGAGGACTGCTTTGAAAACTCCCTAAACTCTGACATCTGAAATTTGAGGCTGCCGCTAAAAAGTACAACAAGGCGTCAGCACAAGATGTCTGAAAGTCAAAGTTTTGCATTAAAAAACGTTGCACTTCACATGAGGTGCTGCAGTGCTGCTTTGAGCTAGTTGAGTGGACTCACTGGGGTGGATCAGTCTCTGCATGCTGATATTAAACTGAAACCAATGGCTGCCTGCCAAGGAGGACATCACTTTCATAGTATGTTCTGGACATTAGTCAGCACTAATGTAAAGTACACAGAGTGTTTTAGTTAATAGGTTAAAAGAGAAAAAACCTGAACCCCTCCTCACCTGAAGACGATGTCATAATAAAAGTCGTTGTTGGCACGAATGCAGGCGACTGTGCCCTGAGGAGCAAAACGTGATTTGATGAAGGGCCGAGGGTGGAACATGCTCAACAAGGAGTGGATGAGAACCTGCAGCGGGATAAGAAACAGCAATCAATATGCAGTAGGATTGTCCCAAGTCTCAACCCAATCGGACGCTAAACAGTGTGAGAATCAGTCTTTGGGATACCTCTTTGCCCTTCGGCGAGGGAGGGTGGTAACGATTGTTGGGCAGGTATCCAGTGAAGATGTTGAGCTCGCTGGGAATCACCCACCACGTGTCCCCCACTTCGACCTTGTTTTTTGGGGGCAAGAAGACCCTGAACTGGCTGGCAGAGAAGGAGGAAGATGGCACTGCTGGGCTCTTCCAAGAGCGCAGCCCACTCAGAGAGCTGTGAGACACCTGCAAGAGCATGATGAAATCAACTTACTCTTAGTGCATTCTTCACTAGAAAGTTTATGTTCAATTAAACAAGTCTAAGATGATTACAAGTTAAATCTCTGCTATTTCATTGTTGATTCAATTCTTGCAGACATTTTGAATGAACTGCCTACACCAAGAGCTGACTCAGAGAGACACAATTTATTGCAATATGTTTCAATAATAATTATTATTTCCAGTAATTTGAAGTATCTTGTTTTGATGGTTAGTTTTAAAAAGTTTGTCCAAGCTTTCAGAATTCACAGTGAATGTGTATTTAAACTCTTGGTGCAGGCTCTTCTGTGGAAGGGCATGTGTCTTTTAACAAAGCAGTCAGCTTACAGCGCCTCTACAGTAGTGCAGAGAAAGAGAACAATAAAACTACTACAGTTTGGTCTTGTCTTACCCCAAGGAAACCATCCTTGCTTTTTGTCATGGAGTCGAGCAGCAGAGGCTGCATTTTGGCCTCCAATGTCAAAGTTTCTCCATTGGGGTCATGGGTCACTTCCTCCTCAAAATCCACCGGGGGTGAAATTCCTGTGTGGAAGCCACAGGGATCAGAGTCAGCATCAGTGGAGAAGGTGGCAAATAAATGTGCTGTTCAGCAAGAAAGATAACGTGATGTACCTGTGAGTTTCTCAGCAATAGGTTTAAACTCCTCCGGACTGAGATAAAGGTCATGGTCGGTGTCTAGGGAGGAGAAGAGAAAAAGCCCCTCGGCACCCAGAGTCCGAACACTCTCTTCCTATTGGATGGGGGGATGTGTGTTAGACTGATCCTTATTGTCATTTTAACATGCATCAGCGATTTTCAATGCAGCATCACAGCGTGAGCTGTCTCAGAACAAAAAACACAAATACTAACTGGAGTGATAAAAACACTGTTATAGAGGCATGATCTAACATTATGTAATAACATTCTTATAAAAAGATGTTGCTGTTACAGTTTTGTCCCTGGTGACAGACCATTAATTCAACCTCAGCAGTGTCGGCTGGATAAAGATCAGCCCAGAGGCCACAGATTCCTAGCATGTGTTTCAAAGACCACCCTTTCCCAGACAGATGCGTGCCTACTAGCGCCTGTACAATGGAGGGAAAAGGGGGAGGGAGGCACAAGAACAACTTGGAGACCCTGTGTAGCCAAACAAACGTAGATTAAAACAAGAGGTTGAGTTTTACCAGCTGTGGCACAGACCCAACCGCCCTCTAATAAAACACCATGGGATGGAAAAACTGCAGATGTGGTTATTTAGTGGCGACTGATGTATGGCAAATAATTAACTTACTCTGAACACACCTTTTGGGGAAAATAGTATTGAAATCTAAAAACAAATTAATTACATTGTACCAGACAGTCAATACAAAGTTTATATTAATACAGACATGCATCTTATTTTAAAGAGCCATTTATTTTCCAAGTTGGTTTCAAGATAAAAACAACACGAAATTAAGATCACTGCTAAATTATGAGACATGTGTAACGTTATTACAGATGTGGATCTCACATGACGTTTGAGGAGCTGGGCATCCAGGTAATACTTGATCCCAAAGGCGAGAAGAGGGACAGTAACGAGTACGAGCAGAGTCCACGGCCCCTTGGAGATCCAGGATCCAGAGCCCGGACTCCGATGCCCATTCTGAGGGGAAATCTTGCTCTCATCTTTCGGCGTTGTTTTATCCACGTCTGCGGCCATCCTCGACCTCCACGGCAGCTATTTAGACGAGGGCATTGTCGTCGACTAACGTACGAAAGGGCATCCAGCGGTAATCGGTTAGTGTGAACTTTCTCCTTAAAGTGTTTAGAATCTACCGACAGTTCTGTTTTCCTCTGCCCGGGGACCGCCCGTCTTTTTCGGTTAGCTAGCAGCACAGATTTCTTATTTCCCACATCAAATCCAGGGACATATGGACGAGGTTCAAATGCGTCAAGTGAGCAAGTAATAGCCAGGATAGAACCGGATATTTGACGTCCGTGTGCTCAAAATAAAAGCACTTATGCCTAACTAGCTAGCCGCAGTTGTGAACTCTATCAAAACGGTCGAAACGTTATTCCTTGTCTGTTTTCCAACAGCTGGTTACGTATTAAACTGTAAGTTTGTGAATTCAAGGTGTCTGCTTGCTTATTATTTGATTTTAAAGTTGGTCGCCCCTGACATACTCTTTATATTCCCGGAGAGACATCCTTAAAGTCAAGGAAATACTTTTGAATATACAGCACGCTCCCGTATAACAGGCAAGGTTTTCTCAAAACACCATGTTTATGACTGAATAACGGAGTAATGTGCGGACGGGGTACACTATTTGGGCCCCCCTAAATGTAGCCGCCAGTATACATTCAAGGGCTTTATTTTGAAAGTGATGACCGGAAGTTTGTTTGGATTCTCTCTAACTTAGCAGACGTTGGGAGCTGGGACAGAAGCCACATTTAAAGGGGCAGGCTTGCATTGTTCATCCCAGGAATGTCTGCTAACAAGCTTCAATTATACGTTTCTCTACCAAGGGAGACAGTCATTAAATATTTTGTAACTTCACCAGTGGAAATGAAGGCTTTGTTTCTACTGGAATTTTAACACATCCTCAATTGGGCAGTTTTATAGTCTCATTTTCACAATAACTTCATTTCACATGTGCTTTTTTAGATGTGTTTGTTCTTCATAAAGAGGAAATATGGGGAGAAATTAAGCAAAGGTTAAGCACAGGTTATGACCATAGTGTGATCAGGAGTTGTGCTCAATTCAACCGAAGAGTCCTTCTTACATCGTTTCATTTAATATTTTTAGATGCAAAACATTGGCCTCATTACAAATTTCTCAATATTCGGCATGTCCAGTTTCCTCAATTCAAAATATTATGTACAAACAAAATGACAGTTCAGCCCAATCATCAGGCTCTGTAAAAGTATCCAATAATAGATCTGCTCTTTTTGTCTCGTCTAGTGTCAGTTACTGTGTCCTGTTGTATGGCGTCTTGTCTTGTAAGTTGATTGTGATCTTGTCTAGCACTATGGACTGTGAGAAATGGCATTTCGTTCATTTGTGTACCTGGTATGTGGATGAATGACAATAAATGTAAATGTAAATGCAAAATGTCCCATATGAATGCAAACTGGCTAAATCCACCCTGTGTTATAGTTTATTAGCAATCAACACAGTTCTACACATACTCAATATTTACATAGGTACATGTTGCATTACATTACCCAATATAAGGTAAGGTTTTCCTGATCCTGGTGATAGCCAGAAGTCTTAACAGCCATGCTTTAAGTGTGTCACATAAAAAGCATTTAACAATGCACTCAACATTTGTGACAGCAAGGAATAACAGAAGCATTATCTATTTTGTTAACGCTTCTGTTATTGAGTTTATCAGTCCATGTTAAAGAGGGCAGCTCTCAGTCCATGTCCTCTTCCACAGGCTGTGTCTTCACTTCAACAGTTTTTGGAGGGATGTAGGAGCCCATACCTGCTGCTCTCTCTGCCTCTGCCTGGGTGTAGGGCTCCTCTCTGAGCTGTTTCAACCTGGATGGAGAAAGAAGAGGTGCTGTAGAAACAAGCAGGAATACATGGCCACTGTGCAGTTGTACGGGGCATAATGTTGTTTCAGTTTTCATTTTCAGTCAAGAAATGTGTGTATAACAGAATACATGGGTGGGATATGTTGCCTTACCGTCTTTTGTGCACTTTAGTTTTAAAGTGCTCTTTCAAGGATCTCATATCCACAAAATATCTCCTGCAAGACATGAAGTTCCACAGTGTTAGAAGCTAACTTACTAATGTACTGTTTTATTATTATTTAATCAGATTATTTAATTGATCAGGATCTCTCCAGCAGAATTCATAAGACACACAGCCAGTCACACACAGTTCTGATTTTTATGACAGCAATTCTTGAATTTGCAAATAATCAATTTGAAGTTAAGAATCAGCACTATTTGTTTATCTGATCCTGTCGGACAAAAGAAAATTAACGTACGCGCAGTGTAAGCAGTAGTGTTGTGCACATCCTGTCACATCGTAGTCCACCTCCTGATGTAGCAGCTTGGATGCAGTCTCAGGCTTCATGTCTGAGTGGATCTGGTCCAGGTCTTTGGTCCTGCGCTTTGTCTTCCATGTCTTTGAGATGTTCTTCTTCTTGTCACTCTTATGGTTTCCTGTTTGTTTGGACTTCCCCATTGCGGATCCTGCAGGATCGGATGAAATAAGACCAACACAGAAACTTGGTAAAGTTGCCTGTAGATGGATGGACTAAATTATCACCACTATTTGGCGATACGTACCGATAAAACCTGTTGAATTAATCCTGACCTGACTGTCGACTAACATTAAGAAAACAGAAACTCCAGATGTCAGCCAACGTAGAAGTTTTAACACCGAACATGCTATTTTTGTGCCACCGAATCGGGTCTTGTGGACAAAAATGTGTGCCCAACTTCAAATTTCAGCTCAAGACAATCAGCGATACAACAAATTTGCTTCTAAAATGCCATTTGTATATGAAACTTAAGCTTTGCTTACCCTTCACACGTGCGGCCAAGATCGGGATGAAATTTACTTCCGGGTCAAGAAGCATTATGTTATACACCTGCTCACCCGTAGAGAGCGCCACATGCCAGTGTATGAAAGAAAAAGATACGAAAAATAACGTGGAGAACATTAATGATAAAACCAAAAAGTTAAATTTGTATAAGCGTATAATCTTTTTGTTTTTCTACTGAACCAAACTCCCACTTTTATATAATTAAGCGCATGTTAAATAAAAACGTATTAAATGTGTGTGCAAAATTAAATTGCACACGTTTGCTATGTTATTTTAATGCGCCCTGCTAAATGGATCAATCAGGTATGCGAAGCTACGTGACATGTTACATTCCTGTGCTCTTCGTAACTTTCTAATGTCAACGTCACCTCGATTAAGGTGTTTTGATCAGAAATGCTAATAGTATGGCAATAACAAAATGAAACCTGTAAGAGAAGTGTATTTACTATTGTCGTAAGCTGTATCGTTATATATGTATCTTTATAGACTCCATGATGAAACAGCAGGACAGGAAGAAGGCAGGAAAAAGAAAAGCATATACCGACCAAGGGTTGAAAAAAGGTTTATAAAACTAATTGCAAGTAACAACAACAACGACGGCAACATCCAAATACAATACCAACAAACTTAACGTCACATTTATACAAGTTGCCCCCTTATGCCATACAGGCTATGGTTAAGGTGTAGTTCAACTGACACATTTTAATATTCCGACAGCACTTGAAGGCGGCGTCAGACTGCACTGCATACGCGCCGTGGCGGAGAGCGAAGATGGCGGAGAATAATGTCGAACCGGAGCACGAATGGAGCGACCGGGCCCTGGACACGGCCGAGGACACTCTGGTTGCAATGGAAACCCTGCTGGCCACACTAAGAGCCTTCGAAGACGTGCTCAGGCAACAAGACTTATCCATAGCATCTTCCACGGAGTACTGCGACAACTTCTGTCAGGTAATGTGTACATGCAACATCGAAGCTAACTGTTAGCTTAACGTTAGCTCACTCAGGATTGTTTTTCTCGCAGCCTGCAAGCTAGCTAATCTGCGACGGCTGCTGCTGTTGGCCCGCTAGCCACCTGGCCAATTTTAGGTTCGTGTATCGCCAAGGAACGACTGCACAGTGCGTATTTTTGGACACATTCACGTGTGCATATAATTTTACACTAAAACAATTTACTACAATTGGCCCAATAATAATGTAGTTACGTTGGCAGATGAGTGATAACGTTGCCTGATTCAAGTTGATACAGTACGTTAAACTCTCCTTACTTTCATTGATATAATAAATCGTTTAGCTGCATCTTATTTCAAAGCAAACGGGAAAAGAGGAAACCTGAAGGATATTTGCATGCGCATGGCATTGCTATAGTTTGCACATTATGCATAATTGCATGTGTTTGGGGCGGGGCAGAATCGGGGTATGTTTGGTTTAATCACATTTTGTAGCTAGTTGGGGCGTAGCTATTACTGCGACATGGCATTTCGGTAAATTTTCAGTAGTTGCGCTTGTCTGTTACCTATCAAATTTTATGTTCTTTGGTTGTATAGTTTCAAATTCTGTGCAGCTGAGCACTTGTTTGTATGTTTGAGTGGACTGTCAGTGTTGTGGATCTGCCATGATGTATTTTTTCTCATCAACATGCATAAGAGATGTATTCTTATGTGCATTACCTTATGGATTTGTATAGTTAATTTTAAAAACAAGTATTCGTATAAGGGAATCAAAATGGGGAACTACCCTGGTTTCCACTTTTTATGGTAAACTATTTAACTACTCCCAACAACAGCTGTCACTTTCATTTTCAATGTTTAAGCCAAAGTACATGTTCAATCAGAGAAGAGCTTCCAGTGAAACTTCATTACCAGTTAGAGTTGAGTGTTGTAGAAGAGAGTAAATCATTATCCAGCTCACTCAAACAGTTGTTCTGTCTTAAGAGAATAGCTACAGGAAAAGTGTTTTTGATAGTTTGTCTTTTAAAGCAGTACTTGAATACCAAAATTTTCATTGAAAGAGTTAGTGATCTCTGTAATTGTATCTTCTTTTCCACGCTAATCAAAAGTTAGTCTTTTTAGTGCATAATTCCAGCTTTGTGTTTTGCTGGACAGCATTTTATGGTTGAACTGCAGTGGAGGGATAGTAACACAATGAGCGAGTTTTGTACTAAAAAAGTCTGTAACCTTGGAAGATGCCCATTTGCTTTGTCTAACTCAGACTGCGAAGGCCTCATGTACATTTTTGCACAGAGAACAACAGTTTGATTTTTTTTTTTTTTCTTTACAGTCATTCTAGAAAGGCTCCTCTTTACAGCTAGTATGGAGAGGAGGAATTATTGCAGCATTACATCATTGAATGTACACATAGGTTGTAACTTACTGAATTTTGGGTTGATAGTAAACAGAAACAAATTGTGTTGCATTTATTTTCTGTTCAAGTCGGAAGTAGTCTGGACGTAATTAGTACACTGATATAGGTCTCCCAGGGTTGCGACCTTATTCTTGGCTCCCTTTGAGAGGTTACCGTATATTTAGACTGAAGGGAATTAATTTAGCGCCTCTGTACACACAAGCACCAGCCTGCAAGGTCTTTGCTGTCTGGCAAATGGGACTCCTGGGATGCTGATAGTGACGATGATTTAATGTGTAGCTACATACCGGTGTCACAGTGGTTTAGACACACTGATGTTGACCCCTCTGTACCTGGGGACAGTTGGCAGTTAAGACAGCATTCCCTGAAAACAATATTGTGCTCTCTGTTAAATGTAAATCATATTTAAGGAGATAAATAAAAAACCTTTTTAAAAATTATTTTATCCCTCGCGCACTTGCTTTGATAAATTCATACGTTTTTTTTATTTTTTTTATCTGTATTTTGATAACTGGTCTACTTGAAGCTCTTATTGTTTTCTGTGTTCAAATGAATTCGTCGTATGTGTTTTTAATGAACCTGGTGAAGCCAAAGACGAGTTTCCAGAAATGGATAATAAAGTTTTATCTTATCTCTGTATTATGTCTTGTCATCAGTGAAAATCATTTTGGTATAATTCAGAAAAATACATTTTTACATTTGAATTTGGTTAAATTAAAGAATGGAATTAAGTTTGCATTCATTACAAAAACATTTTGGTAAAAACATCCTCTTAACTGTAAAATATTAAAAGTAAAAGTATGAAAAGGTGAAAATAAGTCTTAGTACATGTGTCCCTCCTGGAGTGTTTTATTTTTTTAGTGCGTGTTTACTGCTCCTTATTTAACGTTCGTTGTCTTATGCTGTACAGTCAAGTCCCCTCAGACCCAATCAGGAGCATCTCACACCAGACAGTGTCAGCTGGGATCAATCCGGTATAGACTGATCTCTCCCTCGGGTGGAAACCCCCTCTTTATCCAGACACCTGTCTCTCATCTGATATCTCCCCTTCTGATCACTATTGTGAAGTGTTTTTCTTCATTATTTAAATTTTTTTGTTTGTGTGTGTTTATAGGCACTGATGCACTATGCTGGGAGCAGGAACTCCATGGAGCATGGTCTGCCTCTTCTGGAGGTCTACTGTCTTTCCATAAACTGTTTTGCTGCGGCCCGTTCCCACCTCACTGCAGAGTCCGACAGGGTGGCCCTTGTTTTGAAGAGACTAGCTTTGTGAGTACTGGAAATCCAATGAAAATATACTTTTGGATTCAAGCACAAATGTGTGTTGTGTACATGCTTACTTTTATTGGTCATTATATGGATTTAAAACTTCTTAAATTTTTTATTAAATCCTTTTATTAATAGCTTGGCAATACAAGCCTATAATTTTTTATTTTCCTGAGGCATTTGCTTCATTTCATGTAGGCTGCACAGTTTTGATGATTGACAATTCTTTTCTTCACTCAGTGATCAGTATTTTGCACCCTTCACGTACCTTACTGGATGAATGCACAGCCAGCAGGGTTGTCATTTGTCTTTTCGCCTGATTTTCAATGTTCCAAAACAGGGTGGCTCTTCTGGAAATGTCAGGTGCCTCTCAAACTATCCACCAAATTTAGTTTCTGACAGACCGCGAGCGTGCTCTAAACCCCTACCTGTAGTTTGCTGGTATTTTGTTCGTATCAGGTTGTGCTCAGTTACTGGTGGTTACTACCCCTGGTTGTTTTCCAAGCTTGAATCCTATCAGAAAACTAAAATACAAAATGTCTTTGGCTTTGTGAGAATATTACCATACTGGTGTGATGTTGCATTGTTCATTAGAAGATAGTGGGTACTTGTCATTTATTTTTCATTTAAGATGGTTTTCTTGGTCAGACAGAACTCACGAGGGCTGGGCGAGATCTCCACTCTTTAAAATGAGGCACATTTTAATTATTTGCACTTAGACATAAAAAAATACTGTATTATGACTCTTGAGTAAAATGTATTTAATAAATTTAGTGGTCAAGGACACTTGTAGGCATTTGTTTGCTGAAATAGAAAGTCATGGTAAAAAATAGTCTGTTTCACATCTCTTGCACATAGCAAAATAAGTTATTTTATAAATTGATGGGATTAACAGAAGTATGGCTACACTTTAAAGTATGTTGTGACCCAAAATGTAAAACCCACATGCAAACACTTGTGTAATAACCCCGGTCAAGTGTGTGATTTTCTGTCCTTGCTTTTCTTTTTCTTTTTTGGCTTAGCACTTGGCAAATATGACATGGATGTGTTACAGTTCATGGAGCAACTTGCTTTGTGTATCCTCTCAAAGCCGTAATGTTTTTATCAGCAGTAAAAATTCCAACTCAACTAACTCTGTTATGAATTAACCCACGTATAAGCACAGGCTGACAGACAGTGATTGGTTGTCACTTTAGGATTAGATGTGATTCTTGTTGTACTTTCAGATGCAATAAATGGTTCATGCTGCAAATGAAATCCTGTCTGAACGAATTTATAGACATGACTTAAATTAGGTCAGTTAGAGATTTGTAATGTCTTTCAGTTAATTGCTAAGCTCACACACTACAGCTCCAGTCACTCTGCTTCAGTTTGCAAATGTTCCTGCGAGGGGAACTGGTGTTTTCAGATGAATAAAAAAAATCTGACATGACTTTTAATAGTTACCTTGTAATAGTTAAATTTAACTTCTGGCGGATGTAAAAAGTATATGTGGTATAGGCTCA